ATCTCCACTTTCACACAATGTATCATTTTTCAAATGTAAAGATTTTATGTGTAGTACCTTGTTTCTAGATAGAATTCTATAGCCTCATTCGTTTCTCATATAATATGAGAAAAGCTTAATATTTGAAGTTGGAAAGACAGAGGAAGAAATATAAAATGAGAAAATTTTAGGACTCTCCAGTAAATAAGACTTGTTTTCAATTTGACAAACAGTTGACAGGATTTGACACACAGAACCTTTGAAAAAAGCTATCCTTCCAGACTCCGACCAAATGACCCTGAGAAATATGTGGGTAATTGTTGCTTAATATTAGCCACAAATTATTTTTACCTTTAAAAAATTAATTAAAAACACTAGATGGAATAAGTATTTCAGGCGACCAGCAGCAAAATGGGAAAATACCATGTGTTTGGAGTTTTAGTGCCCTCTGAGTACAGAAATTTATTTGCAGCAAGCAGAAAATAGACAGCACGCATAAAAATACAGCAGAGTCCCCCTAGTAAAATTATTTATCAAGCTAACAAGGGAGGGACCCTTCTAGTCACAACAAGCCAGCGAGGAAAAGACATGGCTTTATATTTTACCTTTGGGTTAGAAAACCAGTAAAAATGCCAACTGACAAGCACTTCACATAAACATTTCTTTCTAAATGAGCTTCCTTGTTAAGGGGAAAGAAAAAAAAAGTCTTCCCAGCTAAGGAATACGATAGCTTACAGAGAATTCCAGCACAAATACCCAAACTCTTCAGTGCAAACATACAAAATACAATAGAATAAAGATGGTAATGTGAATTATGAATGGAGTTAAAGAAAAATTAGATGTCCATTCAAGAAAACACGCTTGCAGCCTTATCAACGTACCCTCAAACCTCACACCAGAATATTGAGGAAAAAGTCAGTTTTGGAAGATGCTTTCTCAGGACTTGTTTTAGCTGGCTCTGAAACAAAACACGCACACATGTATTCATACACACACACACATACATGTACTGACATTGCCTCTCCTGTATAAGTCTCGTTGCTATACTTTTCAAATATTTATTTTAGGAACAAAACCCCAACATTTATTTTTATAGTTTAGTTTAATGATACTAAATTTTGATTATAAATTGTAAGTCATTTTATTTTAACTGACAATAGAAAAAAAAGAAGAAGAAGAAGAAAAGAAAAGAGAAAGAAAAAGAAAAGAAACCCTTAGGTCGAAACCACCTAGTGGCTTGATCCTAATTAAACTTTAAAGAAATAGTAAAAAGACGCATTCTCAAAATAACTGCATCCTCAATAGCTCTACAAATAACTCTTCACGATTTTACAATGAATTCACAAACTGAGATCTCATCTTTATCCCAAAGTGAAAATCCCATCAGTTCTCTGTGGCAAATGTGGTGGCAGAAACGATGCTGGGGAGGATGGGGGCGGGCAGAGAGAGACACTTTGAGGGAACCACACACCTCATCCTGCCTCCCTGTCAATGCCTTAAAAAATAGAAACAGCAAGAGCATGATTTTCATTACTAATACCAGTCAAATAAAATAGTAGAAAATTTCTTTTTAAATTCTTTGTTTTTAGTTTTCTTCTCTGGAACAGGGTGACATTTCACTATGCCTCTGTAAAACCTCTCACTCTATGCAGGAACCAAATTGTTCCTGGTACTTTTCTTCCAGGGTCAAGGCCCAAATTCTCCAACTTCCATCCTACCAGCCAGTGTGGGAGCTGGGTGTATGATTGGCCCCAAATCTGTTTAGATGGTTTCTAGCATACTATTGGGTTGTCAGAAGAGTCATGACTCATTTTTGCATCAAAACCATATAAATATGTCATGACTATTCCAATGACCCAGTATTTCAGAACCACAGCCTTTTGCCCACAGACAAGAAGCCTATCAGGATGCTATTACCCAGCAAAGATCAGGGCACAAACACGGAACATTCTAAATAACTTGGTTCCCCACACTATTCATGGAGACCAGAGCATTTGCAGTGCATCACATTTTTTTAACATTACGTATTTATTTTTCCATGAGTGAGATGGAGACAGAGACAGAGACATAACACCTCATCAGGGTTTTCACTCTGCAATCCACCTTCAACCTCGGCCAGCCCAGGATCATGGTTGCACATGTGCTCATGTACTCAGGGAGGTCACTACTCAAGAACATGGAAACATCCATGTGGGTGAGCCTTGGAAAGCATCCAGTTTTGTTGCTGGGCCACTCTAAGACCTCCAGAAGAACAATATTATCACTGCCTACCAAGCTGGGGCCAAACTTGGAAAAGGAGTTATGGAAGTTCTGATTCAGTGATTCCACCAGATCTATGGAACATTAAGCAGATAGAAAGGGAGTAAGTTCCAGAAAACAATGCGACTCCAAGGGGCTTTGAATGGACAGCACAAATCCAGGATACTGGAGAGTCGAGCAGCTGGGAGTCCTAAGACCTGGTCCTTCAGTGGCCCCAACCCTGTGGATTACAGAAAACTCCATTCCTACCACAAATGCTCTCTCCTTCCCTTCAAGAGCAAACCCACACTCAGACCTCCATGCGCACCTAGTAAGACTTGTGCTAGCCAGTGTACTTTGCACACCCATTCTCCTAGGCAATGATGAGGAACTGCTCCAGACGTTAAAAGATGAAAAGTAAAAACTAATAAGTCTGGGGAAAACCAATAACAAACAAAACAGCCTTGGGACATGGGGACAGAACTTCAAGGATGTGCTACCCATTGAAGCAAGGAATAGGAAGGCAGCTCCTAGCTCGGGTCAAAGAGGTCAACACCTGGAATTTCTGATCACTCTCGGTTCCCCTCTCTCCTGTCGAGGACAGCGAAGACAAACATCCCTTCCAGTAGGTTTTGCACGTCTTCTGAAATGCAGTGCATGATTTCAAACACTGCTCAATGTGTAATGTGTACCCTAAAGGCCTTTGAAAAGATTTTAATCACAATGCAATAAAAAGAGAGATGAAAAGAAGTAAAGAAAGTGAACAGAAAATTCCACTCTCCTATTCAAAGTGCACGGCCCAGTAAGACCCACACGTTAGCTTTCTCCCTTATTTCGGGGACATTAGGAATGAATCTCATTTTAGAATATAAGCAAACTGGAGGCAGACCACAGCAGGTTAGACATGAACCCTTTAATTAACCACCATCAGTAACAAAAGGGCTCCAGTTTGATTAACTCTGTAAAGAGGAGCCAGCCCTGGCATTAGAATCCCGTGAAACAATTGCACACCCCATCTCTACTCTGCTACAGATAGCAGGCAGAAGCCAGGAAAGGAGAAAAGAAACTTTGTCTGTACAACCCAATTTAAAGGAAGAGCAACCTCAGGGTCAATTTCTCGGAGCATTTCAGATCAATTCAAGTCTCACCTCCACTGCCTACCTGCTAGCAAATGAACTTACTGTGCTTCTCAATAGACTGAAATGACTAAAAAGAAGTCGTCACCAGCTGCACACGAAAAGCCACATTATGAGATGATGCTGAGCGAAAAGGGGAAAAACAAAAATCCTATGGACAAACTGTCCCTTTGCTTCTTTTTTTGGACTGTCATTGTTGCCTCACTGGTGATTAAGTTGTAGGATGCACCCCTGGATTGTTAATGAGGTTTTAATATCTCCTAGCAGCTTACATCTCAGGTCACTGTTCAGTGGCCTCCTTGTCTCTGTTGACAATACCTGCAAATCCCACAGCCGGTTTGATTTTCCCTCCGAGCACCTGACATGGCATCTTCCCCTGCCCCATGTGGTATTAGTTCTCATCTGAAATTATGTCAGTGCTAATATAATAGCTTTCGTTCCTGTCTAGTTCCCATAGACGCTGGGAGGAGAGGCTTACTGAATCTTCCCACTGGCTTCCCCTTATCCTAGCATTTTCTAAATATTGCAAAATGGAAACTGAAAACAAACAACAAAAAAACTCAACCCTGCTGCTTAGCTCATTTATTGCTGATAATTTCATTAGGTGCCAGGAAAAGCAAAAACTGCAGACACAAAACAACAACTTTACAGTAATTTTTGGATGGAGAAAATGAAAGACTCAGCAAGCAGCAGGTGAAGAGAGTTTAAACATTGGCATCTGGGAATGACAGCAGTAAATCTGAGATTTTGGCAGGTGACTGAATGTGTGCTTTTAGAAAGGAAGCTCTTCACGGAAGCATCATTTTGTCTTAAGTAATGAGGCTTGCACTTCTGCAGACATCTTTTCCTCCCTTTTTTTATTTTCCCTCAAATGCATACTGCTTCTTTCTTTGTAAGCCCCTCCAGTAGGATCCCAGTTGCCTGAACATGAGCTCATATCCCATCATTAGGCCAGTTACCCTGCTCATGACCTGCCGTAATTAATTAAGTAGCTCAGTAGCGGACCAGCACCCACAGGGAGAAAAACATTAGTTCTTCTGCATGGAAAGGTGTGTGGTGGTTAGGGAAGAACATAATCTAAATAAATATACAACAAAAAACAATTAGTGTGAGTGCAAATAATAAAATACTTTAAAATAAAAGGTTTCCGTTGTATTTTCAGTGCGAATGGACGTACTGATGCCGTGCGCCGGAGACTTACTCACAGCCTGTGATGCAATGGTCCCTGCTCCAAATCTTCAAGCAAGACGGTGGGCTCCTTTTCCAGTCTGGTGGGTGGGGAATTCACCCTCAAAGCTAAATATTTAGATGCCCCAAGGGGCCTGTGGTGAAGACAGGAGTGATCCCAGCTACCTGGGCTTTTCAGGCAGACACACCAAGAAATCAGAATGTACAGTTTGGCTATCACCCGTTCCCTGCACGAGAACACTCGCTCACTGTCTCTGTGAAAACATTTCGATGGGGTCTGTGAGGGGACCAAGGTTATGGCAGCTTTACTTTTCTGCTTGAATAGCTACCCAGACGGTTCTAAGGCATCCCTGTTGTCCCTGGGCGTTGAGGAACCACATTTGCATTTTATTTCTCAATGATTATGGGTCACATGAGAGGACAGGTGTGCCAAACCGAAATAAGATTTCTGAGTATTTTCTACTGTTTTCGCTTTTTATTTCCCCTCCAGGTCATAAAATAGTAAAGTCTTCCTTACGTCTGATAAGATAGGACATAGGTATATACAGTCAGGGTAAAACATGTCCACTTCATCAAGTGTAAGACAAAAACAAACAAACAAATGGAAGGAAATCCTGGTGGGTACTTAGAACCTAGGCAGTACTGTTTCTTACAAGTCCTAGCCACTTTTCCCATGGGAGAGAGGAAGGCTACCAATAGGTCTCCCCTACGTATGTGTCCACCTGCTCTGCCCCGAGGAGGTTCTGTAATGTGTGGTCGCATCCGATGGGTCTTAGCCAAAGTCAGGAACATCTGAAATGGGCAGAGCATAGGCATGAGCAGGCTAAGATCCTTCGCCCCCTTCCAAATCAGTGTTCAGTGTTTCAGCACATGGGAGTCCAGAACGGGTTTCAAAGGCCTACTTTCCACTTGGGTGCCGACGACAGGTAGTTGTGTTAGCGCCTTGTAACGGTTCAAGCTAGTAGGCAGCCTTTAGCATGAGGGTCAAGCATCATCATTGTGTGTGTCCATGGCAACAATGACACCTAGCCAGTGATGCTGCCGTGGAGCAATTCAGATCAAATAGCAAGACTGGGCGAGAGGCTTACGGCAGTGTGTCTGCTGTCTGCGTGGCTCTTCGTGGGAGGAGGGTTTCCTGAGAAGGCTTAGTCTTGATAAACCATGCATGTTGGTCGGTGGCATATGTTAAGCTGAACATGCTCTAATGCAAACTGTTAGTCAGGATCAAGGGATGCTACCAAAATGAGGAATATCATCTCTTTTTGATAGCTCGTGGGATGAATATTTTATAATATGCCCAGGAACCATAATAGAAACATCTAGACTGTGTTTCTGAGGAGAAATGAACAGCAATTAAATGACTCCCCAAATGGCTTGTGATTTAATTTTTATACCCTTGCCTAGAAGATTGCCAGAAATAAGCATGAAGCTATACATGGTTGAAATTAGCAAAAGCCCAGAAAAGCTAGAGGTTTACCATGTTTGGCTTCCACTACTGAAATCCCTTAACCAAAGTGACTTCCTAAAAAATAAACTAAGTAACTCTCCCAAGAGTACCAAGTATTGAGCTTTTCATATATCAGTTTATAATATCTAATATCACAGAGCAACTGCAAGGAATTGTCCTCCTCCTCCCCAAATTCCCCATCTGACCAAATGCCTTTTTCTTCCATGCTCTCACCTGTCAATCATGTTCACAGCTGAAATTTGATTTCTCTCCCACCAGTAACCTTATATGAAATATTACCAGGAGGGTCAGGACCACTGTGAACCTTGCCTTTAAAGTTCATTAACTCTTTGCTCAAAATGGATGGTTTCAATGTCACAAAAACTGCCGGTGAGCCTAGATCATCATATTTAATAGGTGCTTTTCAAATTGCAATTATACAGACAAGGACAAGAAAGGAATACAGTGCTGGAACTGCATGCACACACGCAGACACACACATTAAACCCGAAGGTATACATTGACTTAAAAATCTACATCTGGGATTATTCAAGAAAATGTTAATTTTGTACAAGGCTAGCAAAGACATCATATTGGGTAGTGACAATGCAGTTATTCAAAGTAAGACTCTCAACAAAGCAGCGTGTAGAAGTAAGTAATCAGATACTGTTTCTGAATAGTGGGAAAAAACCCGGTTCTGTTTTTCCAATGCTCTTAATTCACGGGGTTCTTAAAGAGCCTCCTTTGCAAAGAGCAGCAATTTGACAGTGGGACTTTTGCCCCCCTCAGTTTCACTAGAAATCAAAAAATGTATTTCATGCAAATTTCTCAGCAAGCAAAATATTTAGTAATAATAAAAAAAAATCAAACGTTGTTCCATTAGCCAATAAGAGGTAACAAGAAGGCATAAAATGACGACGCTAAATAATTATTGGTGTAACAGAGTTGGTCTGGCTCTTCAAACGAAGAGGGTTCATAATTAAATTCACCCTGGGATGCTTGTCTTGAAAACCATTTAAATGGCTCAGTTTCATTTTTTTAGTGGATGGAAATCAGATTTCTGCCACCCAACCGTCTCCTCCCCTCCCCTCCTGGCTACAGTTGAAGTGGGGAGTGGCTTCGCAATCACGTTTGGATACAGAACAGAGGACGTGTCCTGCTTTGAAATTAGACAAACTTTCCCAAACGTGAGTGTGGACTGAGCGCCAAGTAACTGGAAATTTGGAACGTTTGTGGGGCCCAGGTAAGGCTGGCCAAGGGCAATGGATGCTAATTGCAGAGTCTCCCAAATGGCCTGACCTGCAAGCAGGACTAGCCCTTCGAGTGGCACAAGGATAGGATAGGGTAGAACAGCCTGCAGATCCAAGGTCGACTCAAACTGGATTAGTTACTCTATACGCCACGTCTGTGCAAGTGAAATAAACACAGGAAATAAACGCATGCTGGTTCTCACATCTGGTGCTGGTAGCATTCCTCCACAGCACTTAGTGTCACCCTTCTTGGTACATGTAAAGCCCCAGTACAAAAGCTACTGAAATAGGAACTCTTCGCACCTCACGCGTGAGCAGCATTCCTCGCTCACTTGCTTTCCCCTTTCATGGGAAACTCACTGAGTCAAGCACATGCAAATCAAAAATCAAGAGGTACCTCTTTGACTTCAGGCAACTGGATTTTTCACATCACTGATGTAGAAGATTCCCTTGGGTACCTGATTCAGTAAATATATTAAAATAAACAAAGGGTAATTAATAACCAGGAAGATTGGTTCAAGGACAGTACGTTAAAGGCAGCCTAGCTATCTATGAAAAGGGCAGCGTTAGCCCATGAGAAGAGCGCTTTCGTTTCACTTGTTTTGCAGGGTCAGCTCAGCCCTGCCAGGCCAGAGGAGGGTTGGCATGGAAGGGAATGACCATCAGGGCAAGAGCCTCCTCCTCAACCACGGAAACCCCACTGGGGGGCTGAGATAGCCATAGGCCCTCTGGGTTGATTGCCTGGATCAGCTTCCAAGCTGTCCTCAGTTCAAAGGGAACCAAGTGGTTCCAGGTTCAATCTAGAGGAGGATTTGCATCATTTCTGGTGGGCTTCTCTCTGCCTTTTGCAGCCCGCCGGTGCTCAGAACTGCACTGGCCTCACTTGGCAAGCTGTTCAGGGGGCCTCATTCTCTTCCCTCTCCTGATCCTCCTCCCTCGCCCTGGTCCATTCTGCTGGCCCTGCGACCTTAACAGCAAATGTTCTCTTAACAAATCGAGTCATTAAGACACCACCCCTGTATTTATGAACCTCTGCTCTGTTTAAATTAGTGGCAGGGAGGGCTCAGAACAGTGATAGGAAATGAAATTGAGGTTGCTTAAAAAAAGTCTTTTTGCTTCACAGTGAATAACAAAGCACAGTAATTCACAGTACTTAGCTTTCTATGATTCAAAAACCCCTTATTGCTATTAGCTGTACTAATGTAAGTGGCAACATAATTATCATTTACTGTACAGAGTCCAGTATTTTCCAGACGGCAGTTTAATAACAAAGCAGATCTGTCATCTCTTCCTATAGTTAGTCACACTATACACGCTCACACTGTCAAAATATATTTAAAATCGAATCTAGGAACTTCAACATGGTTACAGCAAGTCTGTGTACAGTAACTATGATCAATTAGTAAGACATTGCTTTCCAAAGTGGGTCTTCAGTTAGCTGTCTTTAATTTCCCACACTTTGATTTGGATTACTTCGCGACTAGAGTAAGCAAAGAGATTCTGCCCATGCTCTGCGACTTCTGGACTCTTGCAACTGAATTTACACGCTGTTTCTACTTATATTTTCATCCAGTGGACCGCTCTCATTTTTTTTTTCAAATGCCCTTTACCTAAATGGTGAGACTATGTCCAAAATAGTCTGATAAACTAATTTGTACCCTGCCAGAACTACTCCGAATGTTAGATCATCATTGGTTCAAGGACAGTACGTTAAAGGCAGCCTAGCTATCTATGAAAAGGGCAGCGTTAGCCCATGAGAAGAGCGCTTTCGTTTCACTTGTTTTGCAGGGTCAGCTCAGCCCTGCCAGGCCAGAGGAGGGTTGGCATGGAAGGGAATGACCATCAGGGCAAGAGCCTCCTCCTCAACCACGGAAACCCCACTGGGGGGCTGAGATAGCCATAGGCCCTCTGGGTTGATTGCCTGGATCAGCTTCCAAGCTGTCCTCAGTTCAAAGGGAACCAAGTGGTTCCAGGTTCAATCTAGAGGAGGATTTGCATCATTTCTGGTGGGCTTCTCTCTGCCTTTTGCAGCCCGCCGGTGCTCAGAACTGCACTGGCCTCACTTGGCAAGCTGTTCAGGGGGCCTCATTCTCTTCCCTCTCCTGATCCTCCTCCCTCGCCCTGGTCCATTCTGCTGGCCCTGCGACCTTAACAGCAAATGTTCTCTTAACAAATCGAGTCATTAAGACACCACCCCTGTATTTATGAACCTCTGCTCTGTTTAAATTAGTGGCAGGGAGGGCTCAGAACAGTGATAGGAAATGAAATTGAGGTTGCTTAAAAAAAGTCTTTTTGCTTCACAGTGAATAACAAAGCACAGTAATTCACAGTACTTAGCTTTCTATGATTCAAAAACCCCTTATTGCTATTAGCTGTACTAATGTAAGTGGCAACATAATTATCATTTACTGTACAGAGTCCAGTATTTTCCAGACGGCAGTTTAATAACAAAGCAGATCTGTCATCTCTTCCTATAGTTAGTCACACTATACACGCTCACACTGTCAAAATATATTTAAAATCGAATCTAGGAACTTCAACATGGTTACAGCAAGTCTGTGTACAGTAACTATGATCAATTAGTAAGACATTGCTTTCCAAAGTGGGTCTTCAGTTAGCTGTCTTTAATTTCCCACACTTTGATTTGGATTACTTCGCGACTAGAGTAAGCAAAGAGATTCTGCCCATGCTCTGCGACTTCTGGACTCTTGCAACTGAATTTACACGCTGTTTCTACTTATATTTTCATCCAGTGGACCGCTCTCATTTTTTTTTTCAAATGCCCTTTACCTAAATGGTGAGACTATGTCCAAAATAGTCTGATAAACTAATTTGTACCCTGCCAGAACTACTCCGAATGTTAGATCATCAGAAAAGTCATGATGTATTTTTCTGCTTTTTCTATGCCACAATATGCCATGGCTTTTCTGACCACCTAATACATCATGTCTCTTCATTCGCATTTCATGTTAGAAATGCTTCTAATGACTTAAGACATAAACTACTCTTTGCTGTATATTTGTATACATGAATCTCTTGCCAAGCATATTTCTATGCAAAAAAGAAAAAAACACAGAAAAAAAAACATACGGAAATGATAAACTTGGGAAGTGTCTCAGATGTATCAGTAGTATCAATTGTTCTGCATTTAAAGTTCAGGTGAGTAATCTCTAAAATGATGTTAAAAAATTCCCATAGCAGATTACCTCTTAAAAATCTCTAAAAACAACAGATTCTTTCAGAAACATAGGTGAATAGAGTTTAAAAGCTTAAGAGATTGTGGAGAGACTATTTTGCAATTCCTTTGGGATGCTGCAAACATATGTTAAGCTTCGGCAAGGAATATTTACATGAGATCATATACTTGTGAGGCATTTTTCAATTTTAGAAAAGTATTACAAAGCAATAATTGGACATAGGCTTTGCAAAATGCCCCCTTTGCCTTCCTGACCGTATCATTGATAGTCACCGTTATTTTTGGAGAAAAAGAATCAGGCCTCATTAAATGCGATATTTGGCACCTCGCCTGAAATCTCATAAAGTAGATGTCCTTTTTAGATCATTGGTGTCGTTTTCCTCAAGATGACCTCTACTCTCTGGCCACCTGGGGAACCCATGCATTTACTTTGGAAAGGTAGGGGGATAGGAGAGAGATTCTGTTTGCACACCTGAATAGAGTCCAAAAGCCATTGTGTTTGTTTTCTCTGTCCTCATTACCTGGGCCCAGACCAGGCATCAGGGAAGCCTGGTGGAGAAGGGGGTTTTGCATGGGAGTGAGAGACGAGATTTTTGAGCTGGAGCAGGGTGGTGTAATCTAAGCCAGATGTTTGAGAGCGGAGAGCCTCTTACACTTGGATCTGTTTACCTAATGACCGAAGAGTAGTTTTTTAAATAGCAGAGAAGTGTGCACTGATATTCCAAAGAAGATTTAGAAAGAGCTCATTACCTGCACTGTGGGGTGAATTTGTGTGAGCAGTGCCACCCTGAAAACAGGCTGTGGGATTGTCATCATGAGTCCCTACACTGTCCCAGTCACAGCTCATTGGGGGGAGGGCATCCACCTGTCTTTTATATGAGAAGATTGTTCTGAGACAGACGTGTCAGGCCAGGTTCTGCCTCATGCCTAGCAAAGGACAGCGGAAACTGACCAGCTCTGGCCTGTGATCATTTTAATTTTGTAAAGTGGAAACTGCAGATTTATCTTACAAGAGCTTCCTCTTCTACAGTGTGTTCCTTTAAAGAAGTCCATAAATAAATAAATAAATGTCAGGTGAAAAATTATGTTGAATTCGTTGCTTGAAAACGGAAAGACGCACATGCTCCTTTTAACAGATTTAATCCTAGAATGATTATGAGAGGTTTTGATTCCCTGTTCTATCAAAAAGATTCTTTTTTAAATAAAAATCTGGCAGTGTATAAAAACAATCAGCATATGTATCTGCACATTAATAAATCCTTTCCTAAGACAGAAGAAAATACTTAAGAAGATGCAATGCAAAGATACTTGACCAATGTTGTTACTCTCGTAAGTCAAGGATCCCTATAAGAAAAAGCCCTTCGTGGAAGGGTGAAATTAGTCACGCAAAGTTTGTCCTTTTGAGACAGCTGCGAGTCCGTGGGATTGGCCTGGAACTATGTTAAATCTGGGAATGCAAGCAAGACCCTCCTGCTGGCGCTGCTGGAGAACTCCTCATGTAAGTTGGCTTGATTGGCTTTGTTTCATAACGTGCTTTACAGTACACCATGGAAAACCCAAACCCAAAAGAGTTTACAGCACACTCTCTGGATTTCCCTCTTCCCTTTCTACTTTCCCTCCTTACTCTGTCTCTAACCAAAGCAGGAGAAAAAAAAAAGATAGATCTGGAAAATGGGCCGGAAATAATAGAGCAAAAATCAAATGATCTGGAGTCTATAATCTTATTTACAGAAGGTTCCTGGTGCTCTCCAGTGGAGTGAGGGTCTCAAGGTGAAGGGCAGAAGCTTTCAGGGCTAAAGCCGGCTCCCTCCCGCTGTAGTGCACCCAGGAGCGAAATTAGGCAGGTAGTTTTGATACTCCTGAAAGCTGCGCTCAAGGCCAGGTCTCTTGGAAAACTTAAACCCCATTCCAGTACAAATCCGAGCGTCCAGCAGAGGCGCGGGCGCCAGGGTGGGCGCCGGCCAAGGGGCGCGCAGGGTGTGGCAGCGCACAACGCCCCGGGCGTCTTGGGCATCTCGACCCGCTCTAGGCGACCAGCTTCCCTTGCGCCGCCTCCCTCCGCTGCTCTTCGGCCTGAAATTGCTGGCGGCACTGACGGACTTCGCTGCCCCTCCCTATCCCTAGGCGGGCTCCGGTTGGTGCGCACCTGCTTCGTGCCCATCCGGAGACCCTCAAGGGTAGGGAGAGCACCCGGCCCAGCCCCACGCATCTCCAGCACCTGAATCTGGAGCAGCGGCGCCCAGGACCAGTGGACTCCGGAGC